TGCCAGTTAATAAAAAAGTCAGTTACTAATTCTGCATTCCAAATTAAATAGTCGCAACGATAGCAGTAGTTCGAGTAATTATTATAATGCAGTAGCTGATGATTAAGGTGAAAGCTCAGACATTATTTCAGGTGAAAAACGAAAAACACTTTTATTCAAACCTTTATTTAAAAAAAGAAAAAAACCTGAGCACAAAGGGTTAAAAGAAACCCACTTTAGCACTATACACAGAAACACACACATGTAAACATAAGCCTAAAACATAACAAGAAAAGAAAAAATCAGGAAAAAAGAAAGAAAAAGAAAGCTTCATCTTATCTTTAAAGAGATGTTACACTTGCACTGTTGATTACAATGGTTTTATTGAACCTAATGATGCTCACACTAAAACTGCAACTCAATTTACTCTCATCACATGTAGCAACCACTTGATCGAACTTACTGCTGATACGTGGCAGATGGGAATCCAGGCTGCTTAAAGCGATTAGTCGTAGATATAAATTTTAAAACAGAATGATATATCTGTATCATATCTTCATATTTCATAGAGTCATACAGCAGAAGTAATGACATTGTTATAGTTGTCGTAGGCATTATGTCAACAATCTCAGAGAATAGCAGTTTTCGTTGGTTTTTGTATAAAAGACAATGGAGGAAAAAGTGTTCAAGTGTCTCATTTGCACCACATACACAGTACGGGTCAGCGGTGAGATTACTAATGTACAGATCATGTATTAGCTGAGTTCGATCAACTCGACATCGACAAAAATGAATTTCATCTAAGCGATTATTTGCAATGGGAAGCCTTTTCTTGACCGTTGTTTTAATTTTCTTTATAAGAGTTCAACTTCGTTATACTTCGTGTACTAAACGGTAATTCTTGCCAATCAATACGAGCTTGGTAAAAAAAAGATTCTCTAAACATTTTTATTCTGGAAGATGGCTGTCAGTGCTGATCATTTTGCTGACTACGAGTATTGTAGTTATGAGTAGGAACTGAATTGTTCGTTGAAGAGGATATTAAGTCAAACAAATAATTAGGTGACTTAGTCATTAATATTGTATGATATGTAACAGTTCTACTTCGATGAAAGCACTTCTTCATAGACTCCAGCCGATGTTCTTCAAGACCTTCTGATTAGTACTACCTTCCATAGCTCCTGTTACTGCTAACGCCGCATGATACTGCAGCTTTTGAATACGCTCAATATTGGAATCGGATGTGTTACCATATAGGATACTACCGTAATTAAAACAGGGCATGATGAAGGACTTATAAACCACGCCAAGTGCCTGACGACGTAGAATTCTACTGTAAAGTTTTAATAACCCAATTAGTTTATTCACTTTTTGCACCAGATAATCAACATGTTTAGTCCAGTTCAATTTGGGTGTTAATATTAACCCTAGGTGTTTATGCGACTGAACATAAGTGAGCACTGTTGCTCCAATTTGAAGTGTAGATAGTATTTACGGAGGTTTTATTGATGTGAATAACATTGATACGCATTTATCTGCATTCAAGGGTAGTTTCTAGTTAATAGACCATTTATATACTTTGTCAAGGTCACCATTTAGCTGATTAGCCATTTGCAGCAGGTTATTGCCTGTCATATGCAGTGATGCATCATCAGCAAGTAATTTGGTGACACTTATTAGGTCATCACATAAGTCGTCAATGTACACTAGAAAAAGTAAGGGGCCTAAGACAGATCCTTGAGGGATCCCTCTATTAATACGACGTACTGACGAATAATGGCCATCTACCATAGTCACAATTTCTCTTTCATACAGGTAACTTTCAAACCACTTAATTAAGGGCTTTATTTTGTGCGGCATATGCTCGCACATGTGCCGGATGACATTGATACATGTATATTTCGACTCTCCGAGTCTCGAGGTTTCATTTGAGATACTACAAGATTATTTTTTGCGATGTTCGTTTTTTATCATTTTTGGGGTCCTTTCAGCCGCTCCCGGTGATCCATCTATGAATATGCTCTAAAAAGCAAGTTAGCGCCAGATAGTCCAAGTGGTGTAGTATACGACTGACTATGTCGACTTATATAACAAGCGTCTTCGGACATAAAAATTTAATTTTTAAAATCCTCCATTTTCACTTTCTCTGAACTTTGAGATGGCCTGCACCCCTACTGAACTACCTTTTCCAGATCAAAACTATAAATTTGAGTAGAGCAACATGTGTTCTGTGCAGTGAAACTCGTGTTTAGTCAAATACTTTAACGTTTCATAGAAGAATTTAGTCAAAAAGTACGAACATTCTTGATATTCCTCCATTTTACAGGTACGATTTCGAGCATGTGCGAAGGTCGAGTCCACACATGCTTTTGGGTACAGACAGTACTCGACCTATACTACTTATGCTACAAGCATGAGCTCTAGCTCTGCTGCCTAGACCGAAATATGACAGTTGTAAAATGCAGTTTTCTATACATGCTCGTTTTAGTGGTTTTTGGGGCTTTTACGAAAAATGCTGTAAGTCCAACAGGAACCATTATCTAGTCAAAAAAATTTTGGGAATCTTCATAGATGTGTTGCCTCTACCATCCATAGAAATACGAACTCTAAACGCGAATATCGATTGAGCAACGTATAAGGAAATCGGTCGCTATTTCCATGCAATGGCTCATATGATGAACAATAGATAAAAGTTGATTTACACATGAGTCCCGATATCTGAAACCAGACTGATTCTTATTCAACAGATTATTGCCAACTAAATAGCTGTTCAGCTTCTTATAAATTAACTTTTCAAATATTTTCGATAGAATGGGCAAAAGAGTTATAGGCCTATAGTGTCTTGAATCATGCCGATCGCCAGATTTAAAGAGGGCATCGAGGTAACCACACTTCCATGAATTTAAAAATGAGCCAAGGCGTAGCGATTCATTGAATAAGTAAGTTAAAATATTGAATACAGTCCATGACGCTTCTTTTCACATTCTCGGCGATATACCAGGAGCTTTAAAACAATCTATCTTCTTTAATGATTCCAGACCATCAGGTTCAGAAATTAGAAAAACTGACATCATAGTCTTACTAGTCTTAATTGATTTGGATATGTCATCAACCATCTCACTATTCATCGTACACATAGAAGCAAAATGGTCGTTTAGAGCATCAGCTTTCTCATTGGGTTCGCTTACAAGTTTGTCCGAGGAAGATCGAATAGGAGGAATTGATGATTTACTAGTACGATCTAAAGAATGTTTGACAAGTGTCCACCATCTCTTTGATTTTGTACTTATACCAACAGATATTTGTGATTTTTTGCTGTATTGCATTCCTTTTCAAACGACCTAGATATTTCTTTATAAGAAAGAAACTTTTTATCATTTTTGTTTCGTTGATATCGATAAAACGCTTTATTTTTATCACAGAGCATCAAACGCAACTTTTCATTAAACCAGACTTTATCTCTAGAGGACACAGTTATTGTTTTATGAGGAATAATGGAATTTGCAATATCAAGTATTTTATTTTGTACTAAACAAACTGCATCATCTAGAGAACTGCCATGGATTAATGAATACTAATCTATATATGAAAGTTCCGAGCGATAATTATTCCAATCAGTTGCCTTATAATTATATATCACTCGCTGAGTTTCTAGAACAGATTCCGAAGAACAGCTTATTTTGGTCTTAACGATTAGATCTAAATATGTATCTGATTTAGGTCGCGTCGCCTTATCAACTAGTTGAAGTAGTGCTGATTTATTAGCAAATTGATATATGTGCGAGCCTGCTGAAATAGTTTCTTTGGTTGAGTAGGGGTACCATGACTTACAATGACCGTTAAAGTCTCCCCATGAAGATTAAATCACTAAAATGATAACTAGTACCAGTTCTAACTTCATCAATAACATCTCCGAGATGATTAGTAAATGAGTCGACATTAACCCACTTGGCCCGATAACAAATAGCTAAGAACACTGTTTTATATTTTGAATATTTTATTTTAAAAAACATTGCCTCAAAATTTTGTTTCTCTAATTGCATGTACTTTTGAGCAACTATATCATTACGAACGTACACTAGAATTCCACCATAACCATTTGGGCCTATTTCTCTATCTCATCTAAATGTTTGATAATTCGGAAATAATAAATCATCTGTATTTGTAGAATTATCAAGCCATGTCTCAACTATCATTACTATAGCAGGGTTACTATCTGTTAACATCAAAAATATAACCTCTAATTTTGTAACATCAACCCGATTCGGAAACCTAACACTGTCATCAATACGCGCCATGATACTATTTGCATTTATCAAGAGATACTCATAATTCTTACAGCTTGGTTTATTATGACCATTACGGTACGTCATATATGAATGTATAAGACAGACTATATATATCACGCATCAAACAGCCGATCGAAACAGTAGATACCACATGTGACAGAATAACTATCATATCATTGTTACTTACATGTCTGCAGTGCATACTCAAGGATAAGTACAAAAAAAAAGAAAAACTATACATGTACGGCAAGTTCATTGATACAATTGTGACTATAGCTGTAGTGAAGACATAAAAGAAGAAACGAAGAGAGAATAGCACATGGACCTATATGTTCTTACTGACTAAATGGGGTTGTTTATATAATGAGAGTTAACGTTTTATCATTGCTAACACGATAGATACGACCATTACGTGTGATAATGGACTTTTTTTGATCTCCGTTTAACTTAGAACGTTCATTTTGAAATAATGTTAAACCACGTTTAGTTAAATCTTCTACTATGGATATATTTAAATTTTTACCTTGTAGTTTATAAACTGAACGTAATATTTGTAATCGTAATGAGCAACTGTATAGACGTGCAATAATAGGACGATTTTTTTATCATTAATCCGCTTTCCTATACGATGACTATTTTCTATATCATTTGTTGCTATTGACATGTCCAGATTGTTATTAATAACGCTAACGATTTTCAGTGTTGTATCTTCTTTGGCTTCTTCACTTATACCTAGTAAACGTATACAAAACGTTCTAAATCATCGATTTTTGCTTCTAATACCGATAAGCGTTCTTCAAAATGCTTTAGTACGGGTTTTAATAATAGATTAGCCCCTTTATCAGCAACTATAGCAAGATTACTTCCATCATTAAAGTTTTGTTTTTGTCGAACATCATTACCATTCTGATCATCATTATGATGTGATATTATCATATTATAAATTGATTTACGTAATGCCTCATCAGTTTTTAAACTATTTAATATGGCGTCTTTCATTTAATCTGCATTAAGTTTTGTTGATTGTAAACCCGTATTTTGTCTACGTAAGTTATAATGACCCTTGTTATTTACTACCGATTTTAGACATAATAATATGTTAATGAAGTTTATGATTCGTGCGATTCTAAGAATACAGCTGTAAGTTACAATGTTCGATACTAAGAGAACATGCACGTCATCCGATGTCGATGAAGAATAAAATAAGAATTAAAACACTTTTTGGTTCTTGTTCAGCACAAAACAAAATTAAAAAAACACGTAGACATGCAAAATTCTATTCAAGACGAGATAGTTAATTTTTTAAAAGAAGAAAGTGGAAATAGTTTACTTATTTTTCAAGGGAAGACAGTATATCCGATATAAAGCAAATTAGCTCAAAAATTGTTATGCGTACCTGCCACGTCAGCACCAGTAGAGAGGGTGGTCTTCTTTCCCGATCTCATCGATGTCGAGTGACAAAAAGTACGCTTTCAAAATTAACATTGTTGAAATGCAATTTTGAAATGCTTAGGATGAGGTATGCCTCCACGTTTGCGCCACACCTTCGTGTAATGGTGGTATGCCGCCCATGGAAATACCCTTTATATACAACTATTGATGTAGACACTGACGCTTGCTTCAATGGAAATTAATTCAAAATATTGAATAGAACTAAGAAAGATGCTTGCTTAGTCGACATTTTCGATCTCTGACTAAAATCTGGTAGAAATGTTAGCTATTTTTCGCAACATCTCTACATCATCTAATATTCCGATGTTTAGGGTATACTATCCAAGTGAATTTACTTGTCAAGCTCTTGATCAAGTAGTTGCGAAGTGCTTAACTTGCCACGGACTTTTCAAGTACTCATTAAGTAATCAAGCACTTGTACTAAGTACATTCACCAGGGGATGTTGCAGTACAGCTTAGACTTCAGTTCAATTCTGAACTAGTCTAGTCCAACTTGGAATTCCAGTTTGATCCAGTCTAAATCGGAGTTCCAAGTGGAACGTACTCAGTCCATATTAGAATGCAGTCCAACTTGGAATCTAATCGAGTGTGTTCGAGAAATACGATATTAACACATATCTCATATGCGAATAAGTTACTTATCCACTCTACCACATAAAAGTGACATGATTACCTCAGCGATACTGGGATTTTTTTGTGAGGTTATTCCAAAATGGCGTCATTATTAATTGATATTCCTCTAAATGATCTGTCCCTATGCACATCAAATAGCTTTTACTACCATTATCGCCTAATCACCTCATCTAGTAATAATGTCACTGGGAACAACCTCTTTTTCTGTTTTTTATATAAAAATTGCTACACTAACAGCGTGTAAGTATTCTGCCTATAACACATAAGAAAAGTTAATCAAGTGCGATAGATTCTTCATTAAAGAATATAGAAAATAAAGTTAAGTGGCAAAGGCAGTTCACAAAATAGTTTGTTCAAATACTCAGTTTATCACCTTACACCTTACGAAATTTTCGAGAAAAAAATCATACTATGTACATTGCATTGACGATTCTCTTACTATTCTCCCATATTATTACTGACCCCGTTTAGAGTGACATTTTGGTTGAGGGATATTTTACTATCTTCGAACAAACCTTTGAATTCTTTGGTATCGACTTCTGTGGAGTAAGTCGAACTGTCTCGCTGATGAGCTTTATTTTGTCGACATAAGTTCCGAATCACATCAGTCGCTGCGGTTTTTTACTCTCATTCCGAATACCACCAAATCCTGTTTAAAAATCAAGTTAATGTTGTCAAGAATCTCGAAAAAAACCCGATATCGGGCTGAAATCTAGTTCTCACACTAGGGTATACTGCAGGTAGCGTTTTTTGCGATTTATCGAATACTCTCATTTTTGTGTCTCTACCTCAGTGAATATACATCCTGAAAGTTTAAAAAATGTTCACAATTACAGTTAGACGTGGTGAATCTGAAAACTTAGTTTTTTTGCACTTGACAGAGTTCTGGATTGGTGCGAAATTGCCTCTTGACTAAAAGTCAGTCAAACTGCTGAACATAAGTATAAGCGCATTATGCAGGTTAGGAAAAAATAGTGGAGAAAAACCCTGCTGCACTACCTAACGACTACCCTTTTTAGCCTTTTGAAAAATGTGAGGAATTGAGTCTATTACCCAAGCTGAGAATTCTGGCGCCACCGCTATAAACAGCCCGTTTGTACATCAGAATGTTCTATAACTTCTTCACACACACAACCATACATCATACCAGAACGAAATGAAAGATCGCCTAAATATCGGTTATTTTGCTTTTTTAATTTTCCAACGATGTCTCAGATTCGATAATTGTACATGAATTCAACTTAATATTTTCCGTTCGATTTATTATTTTAATAAAACGTTCGGATAATGCTAGTGTACTACAGAAGAGAAAGAAAAACTTGGCAAAACTGCGAGAGAAAAGAGAATAAAACTTACGATGTTTTTGTTAAAAACAACCCTTTCGCCTTTCTTTGGTCGATGCTTGATACAGTTATTCGGCGGTCACGTCTTGTTTCGGATATATGTATGGCGTGACAACGTCAAAGAGAGGGTTCATTATTGCTGTCGAATACATTGATGCTGCCAATTATTAATTTTTAACTTCATGCCACCAATTGAATGTTGTTGAGTATACTTGTTCTGAACAATTTGTTTTCCGATGTTCTCGACTTTTTTTATAGATTATGGCGTAGTGCGACGTAGTAGACTCATTATGGCGTAATAAAATCGTAATCTCGCTAGAAATGGCACCCGTAGCTACGATCGTAATTTAAAATATGGATTATTTTTTTTTTGAGCCATCCAGACATGAAAATCAGCTAACAGTTCACCTGTCTAAATGACTGAAGCAGAACTGAAGAAATTCAAAAAAATAATACGGCCAGCTTGTAGAGCACACTTTTCTGTACCGGAAATTTTATTTTATTTTATTTTACTGGTCTTTTTTTATGGAACTAGCGCAAAGTTTTGCTGGGCTATCGGGTGTATATTTTGGATTATGTTTATTCAGCTTTAAAGGGTGGGCCAGAAGTCCTGACTCGATTTGAATAATAAATTTTTCTATAGTGAAACAAGTGGTTGTAAATTTGTCTCTATGAAGAAAAGATGCAGTAAAAAACGCTCTACAAAATGACGAT